ACTAGATAGTAGATAAGAATTATCTTAGGTGAAGGGAAGGACAGCACACACTACAGGGGAAGTCAGCACAACTGGACTAAACCAAAGCTAAGAAGTTTTCTGAATACAATCAAACACTTTGAGGGAAGAGTAGCAGGGGTAGGGGTCTGGGGACATGCTTTCAGGGGACATCTAGGTCAACTGGCATAACAAAGCTTATTAAGAAAATGTCCATCCTACTTTGGTCAGTGGCGTCTGGGGTCTTAAAAGTTTGCTAGCGGCCATCTAAGATGCGTCAATTGGTCCAACTACCTGGAGTAAAGGAGAATGAAGAACACCAAAGACACAAGGAAAGTAGTAGCCCAAGAGACAGAAAGGGCCACATAAACCAGAGACTTCATCAGCCTGAGACCAGAAGATCTAGATGCTACCACCAATGATTGCCCTGACAGGGAACACAACAGAGACTCTGATGGAGCAGGAGAAAGGTGGGGTGCAGAACTCAAATTCTATTAAGAAGACCAGACTTAATGGTCTAAGACTGGAGGAACCTCAGAAAACATGGTCCCTGGATTCTCTATCAGCCTAGAACTAAAACAATTTCCGAGACCAACTCTTCATACAGGGATTTGACTGGACTGTGGGACATGAAATGATACTCGTGAAGAGTGTTCTTCTTAGCTCAAGTAGATAACGAGACTAAACAGGCAGCTTCTGTCTGGAGGTGAGATGGGAAGGCAGAGAGGGTTCGGAGCTGGTTGAATGGACATTGGGAATCAGGGGTGGAAAGGAGGAGTGTGCTGTCAGTATGGGGAGAGCAATTGGAGTCAGATAACAATGTATGTATAAATTTTTGTATGGGAGACTAACTTGAAATATAAACTTCATTTAAACTGCAACAATTAAAAAAATTTTTAAAAAAGAATGCTGAATATTTCAAATTATAAATATGATAGCATTAAAAATTTCCCATAGAACCAAGGACTTCTGTATCACTTGAAAATTTTATACTTATATGCAGGGCTATAATTTGTTTATTGTTTGTACTATTTTTGGTCTAAAGAAACTAAGTCATTTTAGTGTCCATTTAAAAAAATCATCACTAAATAATATGTTTTAAAAAGAAAGTTAGCAAGAACACAAACAGAGATAACTATCATAATCAGAGAAATGTCGAAGCTCGAGCTATGATTTTACAAAATAGAATAGCATCAGATTTCCCAAGGAACAGTTTGTGCCATAATAGACAAACGTTATTGTGTTTATATTAATATGCAATCTGAGGTTTTGCAGAATGTACTTGTTGAAGCACATGAAAAGCAGTTATTGATACTGCTTATGTATAAACAAACACCTCAGGAGATTTGTTTCCTTGTTTCAATGGTTATTTCAGACAATTGGCCTAATATTATTGTCAGTGTTTCTATTCTACTTCCTAGTTCACTGTACAGGGCCTGGGATCTTAAAATCCAGATGGTGCCCAACTACCATTATTGAATTTTTTTGATAAAAGATTCCATTGCAAGATCATGATCCAAAGGAGGGAATGACGAAAGAGTTGTAATTCTGGAATCCAGATTTCTGGCTTTCACGGAGGTTAGGGTAACTCACACAGGCCACTGTCTTTGGGTATCTTTTTGAACTGCAAGTTTTGAGGGGGGAAAAAAACTGGTTCCTGAATCCACTTTTGAGTCAAACAATGGTCCAGATAAAGTAGTAAGACTGTTTTACTCTGGGCATTGTGCTTTTTTGAAGAATTCTGTTTCGTGAAACTGACTCCAAAGATCATACTGAGAGCTATGTTTAGGGTACATCAGTAATTAATTTAATAAGTCTTCAAGACAATGTTGCATGAAATACCTGTCTAATGTTTGTAACAAACTGTCACCCCCTTACTATGCAGAAATATATGTATCTTAAAGAAACCAGGTTCTCAGAGGAGATCGACCTCATGGCTCAGACTCCATTTTGTCTTAGGCTCCATGTCTGCTTCTGAGAAAGTGACCCATGACGGTTAATAGGTAAACCAAGGAGGGGCAGCTTGCCCTTGAGAAGAACACTTAGTATGTTTTAAATAGATTAACTGAAGACTTTCAACAGGAGATGTCCATCCTGTATTATCCTGCAGATCATGTATTCTCTAACGGAAACTTGGCTGTCACATGCAAATTTTTCTATACCTTCTGTTTCCTCTAGACAAACTTTGTGTGCTACTTATGGATATGTTTTTGTATGGTGGATCCAACTATATTAGTTTAGATGATCCCTTTCTAACTGACAGTGAATTTACATGAACAATCTCTTGTTTAGATTCCTGGCAAATGTGTGGGCAATGCACTTCGGGCATTTTAGGATTAACTTTAGATATTCATAGTAATGATGTTAGCAAATATTTGGAAAGGTAACGTTAATTTGTTACACATTGTAAAACAAGAGTCAGAAGAAAACCCATTGGTCTAACATTCAGGGTAGGGTTGGTAGCTTTAATTCCTTCTTATGGTACAGTTGAATTGGGGAAATCTTTAAGAAATTTGTCAATCACTATGGGACAAACAACAGAAGAAGTTGCTAATGGGATGGAAACACAACAGTGATCTCTGACCTCATTAAGCCAAGGTGACATGAGATAACAGAATAGCCTTAGATTTTCTATTAGCCCAAGAAGGTGTAGTCTGTGCTATAGCAAATATTTCTTGATGCAACTGGATAAAAAACATAGGAGAAGTAGAACAGAATATACGTAGAATTAGACAGCAAGCTACTTCGTTACACACTATAACACCCTAACAAACACCAGATTTGGTTGGTTACCATCAGGAATAAGTACAGGGGCTAGATAACTATTGCAAAGAATAGTAATATTCTTAGTCTGCATCTTGATAGTATTAAAAAAACAAAAACCCAAAACCCATTGCTTTTGAGTTGATTCTGACTCATAGCAACCTTATAGTATTAGGTATAATAAAATTTATTATCTATTGTCTTACACACTAAAGCAAAAGACGATCTTAGGCTAAAATGTTGATGTACATTGAGTCTGTTCTTTTCAGCGACACAATTGATGAGAATGTCACTCTTAAGATCCTGGTAAATAACCAGATGGTATCCGGTGGAAAACCAGCGCTGAGTTTAAAGATCCTGCCATGGCTGCCATCTAGGAGCCCAGCTAAGTCCAAATATTGATTATTGATGTGTTAGTTCCAATCTCCAATCAAAAGGAGGGAATAATTTAGGAGATAATATCGGAACCATGGAAACCCTGGTGGCGTGTGGTTAAGAGCTACTGCTGATAACCAAAACGTCAGCAGTTCGAATCCACCAGGCGCTCCTTGGAAACCCTATGGGGCAGTTCTACTCTGTTCTTTAGGATCGCTATGAGTCGGAATCGACTCAACAGCAATGATTTTGGGTTTTACTGGAGCCATTATTCCCTGTCCTTGAGCATAAAGAATGTGACCCAGCTGGAGCTGGACTCACAGGACCCACAAGGACTCACAAGGACACATCAACTGGGCCCTGATGTGTAAAGACAATAGCTAGCACAATCTTGGAAAACATCTTTTAGGGAATCTTTCACATAAACAAATCATAAACAGGACAAAAGACCCACATACTTTTCACTCTTACCTTTTTTTTTCTATTAGCATTTAGTGAATAGGAAGATTTGCTGGACCCATGAAGACCCTCCTGACTTTCATTACTGAAACCAATGATTACTGAGAAAGACAATTGTGATTTAGCAGTTTCTAGCCCATCTGTGAAAAGGTGAAGCTTTCAGTGGTTTTGCCCATTTTGTCATGTAAATGTAGACTGATGATTCTGTAATGTTCCTTGGACTCGGACAGACGTGGCTCTGGTAGCATGCTTGTCCATTTTCCCACTTGTTAATACTCCTTGGACTCGGGGAGACATAGCTTTGGCAGCATGCTTGTCCGTTTCCTACTTTTGCCTCTTTGAACATATGCCAAATAAAACCTTTCTTTTTGTTTTGCTTTTTTTTTTTAAAAAAAAAAAAGGAAAACAGAAAGATAATCATAGCAAAGGATGTAATGGTGAGAGGCCGAGTTCAGGATCAAATTCCTTGGGTCCAGCTCCAGCAGGTCACCAACTCACTCTATCCTTTGGATAAGTCAAAAGCTTTCTGGGCCTGATTTTCTCAATCATAATAAAAGGCAGAGATGAGCTCAAAAGTTCCTTAATTCTTGAAAATCCTGAGCCCTCCTGTCACAACCTCAGCATCACTGATTCAGGATTACCTGACACTGCATGCCTCCTGATGGTAGGGGATGGAATAGGAAGTCCACAGCACCACTGTGAACAACTCTTATCAAAAATGTTTAGCCTTAATCTTATGAAGCTTTTAGATCTAATCCAGTTTATAGGAAATCTAGAGGTTGAAGGAATAAGTTAAACAACACCATGAACGTAATGGAAAAAATCCAGAAGGTGGGAAATTCCACAGGACAATGGGCTCAGTCTCCTAAATAAGACTGTTTTAGAATAAAAGAAACTTAAGAGACATAACAACCAAACGCAATGTGTGGACCTTGTTTGGATTCTAGTTTAAACAAACCAACAGTAAGACAGTTGGAGAAATGTAAATATGGATTAGATATTAAATGCTATTAAGGAATCACTTAATTTTGTTTGTGATAGTGTTGCTATGGTTAAGTAAGAAATGTCATTTTAGAGATGCATACTGAATAATTAGTGGTGAAGAGTCATGATGTCTATAACTTACTTTATGTTCTTTATATATTGCAGGATTTATTGCTAACTTTTTAGGTGTGATAATCAAATTGTGATTATGTTTCTAACAAAAAAAATTCTTATCTTTTAGAGAGACAAACTGGAAGCAGTTATGGAAGAAATAGCATGACGTATGGGATTTACTTCAAAACAGTCTTGTAGGGACACAGATATAACAAGACTGGCCCTGTACTGATAACTGTTGAAGCTGGTTTTGGGAATATGGAACTTTATTATGCCAGTCTCTCTATTGTTACATATGTTTGAAATTTTCCATAATAAGAAGTTTTAAAAAGGACAGCTACCACTATATACCCAATGGATTCAGTAAACTTAAAAAGACTGAAAGTGCTAAGCGTTGGCAAGGATGTGAAGCAACTGGAACGCTCATGTACTGATGTTGGGAGTATAAATTGGTACAACCACTCTGGAAAACTATAAGTCAGTATCTAATAAGTTGAATATGGGTATACTCTATGATTGCTATGAGTCAGAATCAGTTTGATGGCAGTGGGTTTGGTTTTTTTGGTTTGTATACCCTATGATTCTTTTTTTTTTTTTTTAATTTTATTGTGTTTTTAGTGAATGTTTACACAGGAAATAAGGTTCTCATTTAACGATTTCTATACATATTGTTCAGTGACACTGGTTACATTCTTCACAATGTATCAGCATTCTCGTTATTTCCATTTTGGTTGTTCTGTTTCCATTAATCTAGCTTCCCTGTCTCCCCTAGCCTTCTCATCTTTGGTCTAGGGTAAATGTTTACCATTTGGTTTCATCTAGATGAATATTTTGAGGAGCACAGTACTCACAGGTGGCATTATTTATTTTATGGGCCAATCTGTCATTTGTCTGAAAGATGTCCTCTGGGAGTAGTTTGAGTTCCAAATTTAAAGAGTATCTCAGGGCAATAGTCTTAGGGGTTCATTTAGACTCCACTGGTCCAGTAAGTCTGGCCTGTTCTCAGGAATTTGAGTTTTGTTCCAGATTTTTCTCCCATTCTATCCAGGACCATCTGTTGAGTCCCTAGTCAGAATGGTTGGTAGTCGTAGCCAGAAACCATCTAGTTCTTCTGGTCTCAAGGTAGGTGATGTCATCGTTCGTGTAGACTGTTGGTTCTGTAGACTAGTTTCTTACTTTGAGTCTTTGGTTTCCTTCTTTCTCTTTAGCTCCAGATGAGTTGAGACCAATAGTTTTTATTCCCTATGATTCTGCCATTTCACTCTTAGGTACATCCTAATAGAAATACATGCATCTGTGCACCAAAATAATGTTTATAGCAGTATCGTTTGTGATAGCAAAATTGAAAATAAAATAAATGTCCACCAAGAGCAAAACAGATTAAATGGTGATATGCTTATATAATGGAATAATACACTGCAATGAAAATTAACAAACTACAATGACAGACAATATCAACAAATCTTACAATGTGGAGCAAAAGAAGCAAACACAAAACAGTTTATATTGTAGATCCCTTCTATTCATATATAGTTGAAAAACAAACAAAACTAATCTATAGTGTTAGAAATCAATATACTGGTTACCTGTATGGAGGAAGGATGTGTTAGGGATTAGGAAGGGGCACAAGGGGAGCTTCCAGGATGCTAATAACATTCTAGTCTTTGATCTGTGAGGTGGTAAGGAGTTACCTTTATGATTTTTGCATATGTCTATGTTTTGCTTCTATAAAAAAGTGAAAAAATAAAATACTTTCACAATAAAACTTGAAGCAAATGTTAATAATTATTAAAGTTAGTTAATGGATATATAGGTGTTCATAACACTATTTCTTATAAGTCTTCTGTTTGAAAATTATATCAAAAAGTCAAAACAAAATAAAATTATGATACTTGAGAAAGTGGGGAGTTAACAACTCTTTGTCCTAAACCCACATGTTCTAAAAGATATGTTTAATTACTATAAGCTAGATAACACATTATCTAGTTTGCATTACATTCATTTTTGCTAATATAGAAAGGGCTGGAAACAAATTAAATCCACTAATATATAACCTGTGTCACAAGAAATTCTACAAGTCATTACTGATCATGCCATCCTATCTTGGATCAAACATTATTCAGCCAAATAAAGGCAAAGGTTTTCAGAGCCTGCAGGAGCTAGGCTGAAAAATGCCATGTTAACCTCATTATTTTAACCTATTAACATGGTATTTAATATGAAATGCTTGCCCTAAGGGCCTTCTGCTACTTTGCTTTTTTTTTTTTTTAATTCAAACTAGTCAGGTTGTCTAATTTATATATGTATAACTCTAAATATCAAGGATATTAGGAATTAGCAGCTGACTATTTAAAAAATAATCATCCTAATTTTTAAAGTTTTCGTTATGCTTTTAAAAATTGTTAGGAAAAAAACATCAGAAAAGAAAACCTTACCTTTCCAACAAATGGAACTAGATGATGTTCGCACATGGAAAACATGTCTATGTCCTTCACGATGACCATCTCATCATGATCTTCATCAAATATAGCATCGTTTAGGACATCTGAAAGCAGAGGCATGTTTTAATAACATGTCCAACTTTATAGAGAGATACAGAGTAGGAAAAGCTAACAATCTCTATGAGTAAATATAAATAGTCAACATAAGAATGTTAATCCTCACTAAAATATTAAGGAAGTACAAATTAAAACAAGTTATTTTTCTTCTTATCAAATTAGCAAAGTTGTTCTATTTAAACGATGGGGAAAATCCTTATGATACAGTGTTACATGAAAATGTATTTGCAGTAGGATAGAGAGATTGACTGATAGCTTTTGTCAAAAAAAAACTGGCTATTTCTGGGTGCTAGAAATGGGCCACTTCCATTTCCTTCTTTACATTTTCTTGTACTTAATATTTTCTCTATAACAGATGTATAGGAAAACATATCTGAGAAAAAGTCTAATCTTTAGTTTTCTGACTTCTGGGGCCATCAATTCCCCAAATAATTTTCTCTTATAAATGTTTCCCATTATTGTATGCAAACATCAAATTTATTCCAAACCTTCTTCCTTTCCTAAAGGAAATAAATCCTACAGTTTTTATGTATATGCCCATCTGGGTAGGCTCTTGGTGACGAGCAGTGTCTTGTTTATGCTGTGGATTCTGGCACATATGGCCAGGCATACAACAGACATTTAAAAGCAAAAAGTTTTGTATGTGAACTCAGTAACAAAAAGACAAGCAACCCAATAAAGAAAATGGGCAAAGAACTTGAATAGATATTTCACCAAAAAAGATGTACAAATGACCAATAAGCACACAAAAAAATACTCAAAGTCATTAGTCATTGTTGTTAGGTGCCATCAAGTCGGTTCCAACTCATAGCAACCCTTTGGACGACAGAAGGAAACACTGCATGATCCCGCGCCATTATCACAATCATTGTTATGCTCGAGCCCATTGTTGCAGCCACTGTGTCAATCCATCTCACTGAGGGTCCTCCTCTTTTTCTCTGACCCTCTACTTTACCAAGCATGATGTCCTTCTCCAGGGACTGGTCCCTCCTGATAACATGTCCAAAGTACAGGAGACAAGGTCTGACCATCCTCGCTTCTGAGGAGCATTCTGGCTGTACTTCTCTCAAGACAGGTTTGTTCCATTCTTCTGGCAGTCCATAGTACATTCAATATTCTTTGCCAACACCATAATTCAAGGGCATCATTCTTCTTCAGCTTCCTTATTCATTGTCCAGCTTTCGCATGCATATGAGGCAATTGAAAATATCATAACTTGGGTCAGGCACACCTTAGTCCTCAAAGTAATACGATATCTTAGCTTTTGAACACTTTTAAGAGGTCTTTTGCAGCAGATTTGCCCAATGCAATACGGTTTTTGATTTCTTGACTGCTACTTCCATGGGCATCGACTGTGGATCCAAGTAAAATGAAATCTTCAACAGTTTCAATATTTTCTCCGTTTATCATGATGTTGCTTATTGATCCAGTTATGAGGATTTTTGTTTTCTTTATGTTGAGGTATAATCCATACTGAAGTCTGTAGTGTTTGATCTTCATCAGTAAGTGCTTCAAGTCCTCTCTCTTGGCTTTCAGCAAGCACAGTTGTGTCATCTGCATAATGCAGGTTGTTAATGAGGCTTCCTCCAATCCTAATGCCCTGTTCTTCTTATAGTCCAGCTTCTCAGATTCTTTGCTCAGTGTCCAGACTGAATAAGTACGATGAAAGGATACAACCTTGACGCACACCTTTCCTGATTTTAAATCACACATTATCCCTTTGTTCTGTTCAAACAACTGCCTCTCGGTTTATGTACAGGTTCTTCATGAGCACAATTAAGTGTTCTGGAATTCCCATTCTTCACAATGTCGTACGTAATTTGCTATGATCCACACAGTCGAATGCCTTTGCATAGTCAATAATATACAGATAAACATCTTTCTGGTATACTCTGTTTTCAGCCAAGATCCACTGATACCAGCAATGAGGTCCTTCATTCCATGTCCTCTCCTGAATCCAGCTTGAATTTCTGGCAATTCCCTGTCGATGTACTGCTGCAACCATTTTTTTAATGATCTTCAGCAAAATTTTACTTGCATGTGATATTAATAATATTGTTTGATAATTTCTGCATTCTGTTAGATCACCTTTCTTTGGAATGGGCACAAACATGGATCTCTCCTAACTGGTTGGCCAGGTAGTTGTCTTCCAAATTTCTTGGCATAGACAAGTGAACACTTCCAGCACTGCATCCGTTTGTTAAAACAGCTCAATTGGTATTCCATCAATTCCTGGAGCCTTGTTTTTCACCAATGCTTTCAGTGCACCTTGGACTTCCTCCTTCAATACCATTGGTTCTTGACTATATGCTACTTCCTGAAATGGGTGAACATTGATCAATTATTTTTGGTACAGCGACTCTGTGTATTCCTTCCATCTTCCTTTGAAGCTTCCTGCGTCGTTCAATATTTTGCCCATAGACTCCTTCAATATTGCAACTTGAGGCTATAATTTTTTCTTCAGTTCTTTCAGCTTGAAAAATGCCAAGCATATTCTTCCCTTTTGGTTTTCTAACTCCAGATTTTTGCACATTTCATTATAATACTTTGTCTTCTTGAGCCACTGTTTGAAATCTTCTGTTCAGCTCTTTTACTTCATCTTATGTTCCATTCACTTTAGCTACTCTACATCCAAGAGCAAGCTTCAGAGTCTCTTCTGACATCCATTTTGCCCTTTTCTTTCTTTCCTGTCTTTTTAACGACCTTTTGCTTTCTTCATGTATGATGTCCTGATGTCATCCCACAACTCGTCTGGTCTTCACTCATTAGTGTTTAATGCATCAAATCTATTCTTGAGATGGTCTGTAAATTCAGGTGGAATATATTCAAGGTCGTACTTTGGCTCAGTGGGCTTCTTTTAATTTTCCTCAGCTTCAACTTGAACTTGCATGTGAGCAATTGATGGTCTATTCTGCAGTTGGTCCCCTGATGATACTGAGCTTCTCCATCATCTGTTTCCACGACGTAGTTGATTTGATTCCTGTGTATTCTATCTGGCAAGATCCATGCGTACAGTCATCACTTACATTGTTGAAAAAAGGTATTTGCAATGAATAAGTTGTTGGTTTTGCAAAATTCTATCATGCTATGTCCGGATCATTTCTATCACCAAGGCCATATTTTCCAATTACTGATCCTTCTTGTTTAATCATTAGTCATTAGGGAAATGTAAATCAAAACCACAATAAAATATCACTTCACCCCTACTAGGATGGGTATTATCAGAAAAATGGGAAACAACAATTACTGGTGAGGACATGGAGAAATTGGAACCCTCACACATTGTTGAGTGGGATTGTAAAATGGTATAGCCACTGTGGAAAACAGTTGGGTGGTTCCTCAAAAAGTTAAATATAGAATTACCATATGACCCAGCAATTCCGCTCCTAGGTACATATCCAAAAGAATTGAAAAGCAGGGACACAATGTTCATTACAGCACTATCCATAATAGCCAAAAGGTGGAAACAGCCCAAGTGTCCATCAACAGATGAATGGATAAACAAATGTGGTATATACATACAATGAAATATTATTATATTCCATTATTATTATTATTCAGCCATAAAGAGAAATGAAGTTCTGATACATGCTATGACATAGATGAACCTTGAAACAACTTGTCAACAACCTTAACAACTATTGTATGACCCCACTTACACAAAATATCCAGAATAGGCAAATGCATGGAGAAGAAAGTTTATAAGTGGTACCAGGGACCGGTGGGAGGAGGAAAGGGGGGAGCTACTGCACTGAGTCTCTGTTAAAGTCAGTGAAAAAAATTGGAAACGGATAGTGATTATTTATGGTTGTACAACATGGTGAATGTAATTAATGTCACAGAATTGTACATGTAAAAATGGTTGAAATGACAAATGTTTTATTATACATATTTTTACCACAATAAAAAAAATATATTAAATAAGATGACCTCTAAAACAAGGGTTTGTTTTTAAAAACTGTACTGATATCTGGACAGCTTGGCAAACTGGACATATTCAAGATACCAGTGTGATTTCAAAGACTTTGGGGATACCCAGTCCACAATGTATGATTACACAGGGGAAGGAAGAGATGAAATAGAGCTTTGCAGCCACTTATAGTTATTTCCCCTCAGAAAGGTAGACTACCGAGTGAGTCACAGGGAAGATATCCAACTGTCCACCCACACTGCCTGACCTTCAGTGGCTTCGTTGCTACTAGAATAGGGAGGGACTTGCATATATTGAGTCATCATCAAGCTATTCAGAGACACATTTGACTGTGTAGTACAAAAGTCATTAGCATGGTCAACAAAGGTGAACACGTGGGGTTTAGACACACAGACAAGCACAGACACCCCTGTTAGAAGTGGCTGATAAAATTCAGGGAGGAAAAAGCTCAGTGTCATTCTTTAAGAAAATACTCTTTCTCCAAAAGCAGTTTTCTATTCTGAATACTCTGCCCTAACTTTCTATCATATTTTTGAAAGAAGTCCACAAGTAGATCCTTGGTGCTTGTCTTAGTCATCTTGTGCTGCCCTAACAGAAATACCACAAGTGGATGGCTTTCACAAAGAGAGATTTATTTTCTCACAGTCTAGTAAGCTAGAAGTCCAAATTCAGGGTGTCAGTTCCAGGGGAAGGCTTTCTCTCTCTGTCGGCTCTGGAGGAAGGTCCTCAGTCTTCCCCCAGACTAGGAGCTTCTCTCCGCAGGGACCCCGAGTCCAAAGGACATGCTCTGCTCCTGGCACTGCTTTCTTGGTGGTATGAGGTCCCCAATTCTCCACTTGCTACCCTTTCCTTTTATCTCTTACAAGAGATAAAGGTGGTACAGGCCACAACCCAGGGAAACTCCCTTTACATTGGATCAGGGATGTGACCTGGGTTAGGGTGGTATTACATTTCCACCCTAATCCTCTTTAATGTAAAATTACAAGCACAAAATGGAGGGCAATCACACAACACTGGGAATCATGGCCTAGCCAAATTGATACACACATTTTTGGG